TAATTATATGGTATGATATGAATAAACTGGAAGCACTGAATAATAGAAAAATCAATATTAAAATAGGAATGTCTATCTATGTAATTTTTCTTTTTAAATGTCTTTAAATGTTGCTTGAGATATGCAAGAGAATTAACAAGTGAAATAATTAGATAGGTGAAGAAGTTTCTTTGTCATTTGAAAAGCAAGTAAATCTTCCTCTTCCCACCCTGAAGGGAGTGAAACCAACCAAGCAAACACATTCCACACTAAATAAACTTGACATCTGCCTTCAGGTAGAGCTGGTATTCACGGGGCTCACATGTGAAATAGCCACTCTAGTGGGAAGAAATTGAACAAACTTTTGAAGCAGGGTCTTCAATTCGCAGTAAGATTTCACTTCAAAAGTGAGAGTATAGCCATTCTCCTTCTCTCTCTTGCTCTCTCTCTCTCTTTCTCACCCCTCCCACCCTCCCTCCTTCTTTCAAAACTACAGCAGATAGACATAACGCTCTTTTCCTCTTAAGAAATTGCTTTCCCTGATCATCAACATAGATTTAAGGGTCCTTTCTATTCACTTTTTCCCCTTTATCTTCTATCTTAATATTTTACCTTTCATATCTATTTGTTATCCATAGTTGATTCTTTAATGTACTTTATTCTCATCCTGTTTTGTGTTTCTTTTAAAGATACCCTGGTTGACTGAGTATAATTTTATTTTACAGTTATATGCATTTACCCCCATGGCTCTGCCGCACCCTACCCACTCCCACCTGCCATCCTCAATGCTACCCACCTTTGGTTTTGTCCATGGGTCCTTTATACATGTTCCTTGACTTGATCTTTCCCCTTCTTCCCTCCAGTATCCCCTTTCTCCCTCCCTTCTGGTTACTGTCAGTTTGTTCTTTTTTTCAAAGGTCTCTGATTATATTTTGCTTGCTTGCTTTGTTTTGTTTATTAAGTTCCACTTACGGGTGAGATGTTACAGTATTTGCCTTTCACTGCCAGGCTTATTTCACTCATAATACTTTCCGGATCCAGCCATGCTGTTGAAAAGGGTAGGAGCTCCTTCTTTCTTTCTGCTGCATAGAATTCCATTGTGTAAATGTAGCATAGTTTTGGGATCCACTCATTTACTGATGGGCACGTAGGTTGCTTCCACCACTTGGCTATCGCAAATTGTGTTGCTATGAACGTTGGGGTGCATAGGTTCTTTTGAATTGGTGTTTCAGGATTCTTAGGGTATAATCCCAATAGTGGAATAGCTGGGTCAAAAGGCAGTTCCATTTTTAGATTTTTGAGGAAATTCCATACTGTTTTCCACAGTGGCTGTACCAGTCTGCATTCCTACCAACAGTGCAATAGGGTTCCTTTTTCTCCACAACCTCATAGCATTTGTTTCTTGATTTGGTTATGCTGGCCATTCTGACTGGTGTGGAGTGGTATCTCATTATGGTTTTAATTTGCATCTCTCTGATGGGCACTGATACTGAGGGTCCTTTCATATGCCTTTGGACCCTCTGTATGTACTTTTTGGAGAAGTGTCTATTCAGGTCCTTTGCCCATTTTTTAATTGTATTGTCTTCCTGGTGTTGAGTCCTATGAGTTCTTCATATATTTTGGAGATCAAACCCTTGTCCAAGGTATCATTTGCAAATACATTTTCCCATACAATTAGTTCCCTTTTCATTTTGATGTTTTCTTTAGGCATGCTAAAGGTTTTTATTTTGATGAAGTCCCATTTGTTTATTCTTTCCTTTATATCCCTTGTTCTAGGGGACACATTGGTGAAAATATTGCTGCATGAAATAGCTGAGATTTTCCTGCCTATGTTCTCCTCTAGGACTTTTATGGTGTCGCAACTTATATTTAATTCTTTTATCCATCTTGAGTTTATTCTGGTGTATGGTAGTTAAATTTCTTTTCTTTTCTTTTTTTTTTTTTTTGCATGTAGCTGTCCAGATTTCCCAATACCATTTGTCGAAGAGGCTATTTTTACTCCATTTTATGCTTCTGACCTCTTTGTTGAATATTAATTGACCATAGAGAGATGGGTTTATTACTGGGTTTTTTATTCCATTGGTCTATTTGTCTCTTCTTATGCCAGTACCAGGCTGTTTTGATTACAGTGGCCCTGTAATATAGTTTGATATCAGGTATTGTGATCCCTCTTACTTTGTTCTTCTTTCTCAAAATTGCTGTGTCTATTCGGGTCATTTATGGTTCCGTATAAATTTTTGGAATGTTTGTTCTATATCTGTGAAATATGCCATTGGTATTTTAATAGGGATTGCAATATCCCTATTTTCATAAGTGACAGGTAGGTGCAATTCTGAGGCCTAATTTAACCATTCTAGGTGAACACTTGAGCAGTGTCAACATGGAATAATATGCAGATGCTTAGCTTTCATTTAGCAGCACTCAGTGAGATCGTAGTATATGTTAGGCTAAATGTGGGGTCCTGGGGTACAACAGGAAGCAAAACATTACTGCCTCTGTGCTCTTTACCTGCCAAATGGAAAATTGATAGTTTATCTTTAAGGAACATTTAAAATCTAAAGTCTCTAATAAATCTGATTGTTTTTATTTCAAGCATCATAAGAGATTACACACTTTAGTAAAAGAAAAAATTTAAGATTAGATAATGAGTGGCTCAATATTTAAAGTTTACTATGCTAAACATTAACTGGTGAATGTTTGAATTCTCTTTAAATATGACTAAAAATATGTGTAATTTTATTTCTAAAACTCTGTGTATTGCATGAAGAAATTTAAATGTGTTGGTTGCCCTTTGCCCTCAGATAATTGAACAAAGGCAATGAGACATGATGAACACAACAGGAGTGATTTTTACATATAGAATGAATCCATTCTCTCAAAAATTCTTTGCAGACCCTGAATATTTCTACTACCATGATAATGAGATGAAAGGATGGCCCCATAATACTATACACTGACTCTTCAGAAAATCCAATATAAAATAAAAATTCTAAGTGCATAACAGAAGGTGTATTAGTTTCATGCTACACCACCAGTCATTTTATGTTTTCTTTAAAAGGAACCATTTATGATGTCTCCACTACTACACTTATAATCTGATTCCATTTCTGTGTAGTTTCTCAGTAACATATCTACTGTGGAAAGCATGGTCTACCTATAATGTTCTTATACTGTACTAAGCAAGGCTGAGTAGCCTCAAGGTCATTCAGACTGGTTTTTGGCTTCTGTGTGAAGATAGTGCCAAGCTATTTAAGGCTACTATCAGGCTGGTAGAGAGCTTGGAGCCAAATTTATGGCTCTTCACTAGGAAACGTATATTTCTTAGATGTTAACCTAATGCCTGGCTCCATTTAACTTTTCCACTCTTATTTTTCCTCTACCTTGTTTTAAAACACTTATTAATTTAAACTTAAAAAATATTTCTATATGAAAATAAAACTCTCAGTAACATTCCCTAATAGCTATTTTAAATAGCTGAAATAACTATTTCCTTTATTAGGTTTATACTAAAAAAGAAAATGAATAACCATAAAAAGCATCACTTTTTAATAAACAATAACTCATATGTTGATAAACACAAAGAGCTAGCATGGGAAACTGACCTATTTATTTATTTTTATTTTTTTAACTTTATTTTGTATCATTTTTTAAATTTTAATTGTTGTTCAAGTACAGTTTTCTGTCTTTTACTCCCATCCCAGCCCACCTACCCAGTGCTCCCCACCTCCCTCCCATTTCCACCCCCCTTAGTTTTTGGCCATGTGTCCTTTATACTAATTCCTGTAAACCCTTCCCCCTTTTCCCCTGAAATTCCCTCCCCTCTCCCCTTTGGAAACTGACCAATTTAAATATATGGTTTTACTTGAAGTAATCCTATAGTACCTATTTATAAATTAAATTCTAAAGAGTATATGAGTCTACATAGACTAAGACATTTAAAAACTCTACCTCAATCCTTAAAATGGTACCTTAAAGTGGATTTACAGCATGACCTCATGTAAATGTCTATGATACCTACATTCATACACAGTGAAAGGAGAGTAATTAGTGAAACTTCTATGATTTCCACATGAGTCAACTGTAGGACATTGCATAATGTAATGCACAATTACATCATGTTTAATTTATGTGGAAATATTTGGATATGCTTTACATGTCTGTAGTAAATCATTTGGGAACCTTAACTGAACAATTTTATGTAATAAATTTCTTTGTAAACACTGAAATAATATTTTTATGTAACTATAAATTTATTTTGAAAAAGTCCAACAACACCAAATTATTATATTATTTTCCTTGTATGATCCAAAGCTTGTATTCTTCTGGAATTTATTTTCCTATCCTGTAGCCAATAAGTCGAACTTTTATAACATGCTTATTTCCATCCCATAGCTGGCTAGCATTTTTTATTTTTTATTTTTATATTTTTTAAAATTTTATTTAGTTATTTTTCAAGTACAGCTTTTTGTCTATTTCTCCCATCCCAGCCCCCCCTGCCCTTTCTCCCCACCTCCCTCCCATTTCCTCCCCCCTAGTCCTCATCCCTGTGTCTTTCATACTAGCATTTTTTAAAACTCAAAATATTTATGTTGTTTTAACATTTTACATATCATAGTATCTCTGATAATGAAAAGTGCTTAGAATTAAAATGTGACGGTCTTGTCCGGGCTGGTGTGGCTCAGCTGGTTGGAGCATCATCTGGTAAACTGAAGGGTCTTGGGTTTGATTCCCATTATAGACACATACCTAGCTTGTGGGTTCGAACCCCAAGTCGGGGCGCTTATGAGAAGACAACTAATCAATGTTTCTCACAACGATTCTTTCTCTCTCTCTCTAAAGGGAATGAAAAATTGTCCTCCGGTGAAAAAAACTGACAGTCTTTTCCATAACTGAAGCTACTTAACATAGTGAAGAAGTAGTGCTCTATTTCCAGACCCAATTAAATCATTATCGAGAATATTTATGGAAGGAGTTTAATTTCACAGTGGAGACTAAAATTTCATGCTTATAGTTAGCACAGGGAAGAGTTTATATGAAGCTGAGAAATAAATATTTCGAATCATAAAAGTACCCTCTCAAAATCAGTAACTTTCTACATAATTTTAACAATTATAAGCCCATTTATTTGAAATATAATACTTCTTTCTAGAGCTATAAATTCTTTAAGTAATGTAATTTAATTAAAGTAGATGCAAACGTATATTATTCAAGTAGGTATAAACTTAAATTGAACTATTGCATTTTCCAGAAAAATGCGTCCACTAGAAATTAGGAAACTATTTCAGTCAGAGTTCTCATCTGCAAAGAAACAAATGAACAGCAACAACGACAGAGAAACACAATTCAGCAAAAAGGGGATGTGGGTGTTACTGGGCTTGCTCCTCAGCCCAGGCCTTAACCGGATTTCATAACCGCCCTCCTCCATTACACTTTCCTCTGCATTCACCCCGAACCTCAGTGGGCCAGGATTCTCTATCCTTTACAGTGGGGGTCCTGAGTGTCTGGCGGCCTTGCTAAACCCAGGTTGCAGTATACCGACATTTTCTTCCTACTGAAATGGGGCAGTAACCTTATTTTCCTTTAAGGGGAACAAGCAAATGTAACACAACAGTAGCAATTTCTTTTATCTTTTTGCCCTTTTTTTTGGTCTGTTTCTACAGGCCATGAAGAACACAAGTGGATCAGGTGCAGCCTTAGCTGAAATTTCTCATCTTACGGTACTGTTCTATCAGAATCCAAAGTCAAAAACAAACAAACAAAAACAAAAACTGTTAAGTATAACCCTGAGAATCTCATCTCAGTTTTGAACTCTAGGATTCCAGACTTATATATTCTGGCCAAATGGAAACACAACTCCATTTAGTAGTTATTTGTTTTGAGTGTAAACCACCTTCTGCAGGACAGCACCTCAAATCCCAGCCTGTTGACCTTGGTAAAGCTCATCTGAGTCTTCAGTGACTGGTGCATTCTGTGTAATGGGATATGCAATAATGCCAGTGAATCCTTTGAACATTAGCCTGCTGACTTGCTTTTTTTTTTTTTTAAGAAGACGAGTTTCTTGCCCTGGCTGGTGTAGTTCAGTGGACTGAGCGCGGGCCTGCGAACCAAAGGGTCGCGGTTCGATTCCCAGTCAGGGCACATGCCTGGGTTGCAGGCCAGTTCCCAGCGGGTGACACAGGAGAGGCAACCATACATTGATATTTCTCTCCCTCTCTCCTTCTATTACCCTGTAGAGATAAAGAAATAAAAATTTAAAAAAACAAAAGAAGACAAGTTTCTTCAACTGAATCTATTTTGCATGGGATACCATGGCCTTGCATAAGGCAATCAATTGATCTATAGATAGTGTAACGACAAAGAAAAATGACCAGAGACAGCAAAAACAAATCCAGAATAAATTATCTACTGCAATAAAAAAAATAGCTGCTGCCACTCCCCATCCCCCAGAGAATGGCAGGTGTCATGCGCAGACACTTTAACACCAAATAGTTCTTCGGTTCCTCTAGGTATAATGATTCTCTGGAGTTCATGACCCGTCACTGATAACAGAAAATGTAACATTCATCCGAGCTGTAGCCAGGTGGCCATTGATGAGAACTGAATGTTTGTGAAACCACAGGTAATTTTCATTCCCTCCATGATGAATTTCGGTTTCACGAATCCACTGGCATTGCCGAGAAAGGAGGTTGACGGGATCTACCGAATGGGGCACCTTATCCATAGCAGAAGCTTCGTGGCAAATATAAAACTTCCTGAGAAAAATACTCACATTTTGAGCTAATTTTGAGAGGTCATATCCCCAACATAACTTTTCCACAATCCTCCAAATCCTCCTCTTTCCAGCTGCCTGGCCATCAACTGAATTGGTGTAGGTTCCTGTTCTGGTTATCTGTGCTGCTTAAAAACAAACAAACAAACAAACAAACATCAGTCCGAAACAAAACAGCTTAAAGCAATTATTTTACTATGATCATGGACTCTGCAGGTAAAAAATTCAGGTGGAACACAGTGAGGGTGGCTTCTGTCTGTTCCATGATGTCTGCTGCCTCAGCTAAGAAGCCTTGAAGATTGGGGACGACTTGATGGCTGCAGGCTGGCACCATCCGAAGGTTCACTGATGGACATACCTTGTACCTGGACTAGGCTGCCTCAGTGACTGGGACTGCTGTTGGCTGGAGCATGACCACACAGCATGACCACTGTAAGGCAAGAGGATTTTATACCAGGTGACCACAGGAGATCATTTAATTAGCTGTTTCACTTTTGCCTATTAGAATCAGTCAGATCTAAATTTTATTCCTGAAATTACTAAGTAGGATTTTAAATTCTTTATCCTCAACTAAGCCAGGTGAAAGCCCTGAATTCTATCAGTTTCAGTGAGATTCTGTGCTGTAATTCTCAACTGGTATCAACTTCTGTTTATATCAGGGTCTTTGTTGTGCCTCAGAAACTGACTCTGGTTCTAGCAAACAGAAAAGGACTACACTGGAAGAACATGGGTTGGCTCAGGGAGTGCAGAGAAGGGCTAAAGAACCAACCTCAGGAAAGGATGTGAATTAGACACTGGAAGCAGAGAAATTAGCTCAGTTCCTATCTCATGATCAGTTCCGGTAGGATGCTGTCACCAGCAGTGCCACTACTGGGTCCTTGCTGTTGCTGCAGCCAGCGTGAAGACCTACCACCATTGTGACTTGACATAACTACTCTGTGGCCTCCATAACTACCTCTGTTTGTGTCACTTCCTACCAATTCAACATTTCTGCATAGAACTTCCTGCTGGTTCAACTTAAGTGACGTGCCAGCACCTTAGCTCTTTGGGTGAGAATAAAAGATAAATGGTCCTTCCAGTTCCCTAGAAGGAAGTGAGACTTTGCCTCAACACATTTACACAACAGAATTCCTACCAAATAGAAAGGAAGCTTAGATTATGCAGATAAAAACAGAGCAAATACCCATTGAACATGATTAACCTGATTATTTAATGATTAAAATGAATGAATGGGTGAACTGACAGTATAATCTAATTGGTTCAAGTAGCTATTTTAATAAAAAGAGCAGCCCAAAATTTAGCCTTGGTGTTGTATTGGAACTAGGTAAATCATTTAACCTTTCTAGCTGTCTTTTCTCATATATAAAATGAAGGTTTGGACTCTGATCTCTAAGTTTTATTATAACCATCTTCTAAAAATTGTGTAATTTGCAGCGGCCCATCCACATGGTGGTGCTATATGCCTGGGACTCTGAAGTACCCACTGTACTAGTTTTAAAACATTAAAGAAACTTGGTAAACCGAGTAATTTTTTTAAAGTTATGACACATTGCTTTTATGTTTATATATAAACACGTAACCGAAGAACATTGAACAAAGTTGATTAAATTTAATGATTATGCATCTAATTTTCCATTGTGTGTGCAGAAATTCAGGAAAAATCAATTTTTTTGGCATAGTCTTTTTTCTGAACTGCAGCACAGCTTGGTTGTCTGGAGATAGCCTGTGTCTGGTGAAGAGGAAACTCAGGAACCAAAAGAGTGTGGGTTCTTGGTACAGAAACCTTCATGAGAGACTTGGGGACTTTCCATTTACTTCACCTCACCTGAGTCATTCTTTTAGTGACCTAAAAGTCACTTCTGAGGATACTCCAACCATTTCAAGATAACGTGGAATTTCTTCTCTCTCCTTTGGGAAAGAGCACTCATATTCTTTGGAAGGAAAGATGATGGTCCCCCAGAGCTGTCTGGCTCCCCCTTTCACAGTGTCTCTATTGGGGAGCTTTTTTAAGCTTACAGGGAATTCCCCCGAATCCATCTTTTGGCAGCCAATACTGAATCAAGACTAAATCTTCAGAAACTTCATTTGTAGTGGTTCCCACAGCCTGCCTATGTAAATGGCATGGAACTTTTGAAATGGATCAATGTCGTGTGAATTCAGAGAATCATGTTTGTCTTTTGGATGAAAAGATAATTTGCCAGAATTGTTTACAGTTTGCTCTGCAGTTTAGTATAGAATGAATTCAAATTTCCAAACAGGATTATGACAGAGAAACCAGACAATTGGGAAAGGCGTTCCAAAGTGGCTGCTCATCTAGCAACATGAAATCCCCACACTTGAGGATTATGCGTTTTATTTACCCCACCTGAGTCATGCCTGTGTTCAAGGGAAATTCCCAGTGAGGTCCTGCATGTGACCCCTGGGTGTGCTAGTCTCCTCAGGCCAACACCAGATCAAAACAGGACCTCATTCAGAGAGGCTTACAGTCAGACTGGCTTCCACAGCCTTGCTTTGGGCCTGACTCCATGGTTACAGGGAATTTCTCACAGCCAGAATATGCATTCGCACATTGCTTTGTGACCAGCTGCACTAAATCCCCATGTTATGGCAGCCGGTGGTTGTATTTCATCACACAGGCTGAATGGAAGATTACTGGTTAGTTGAAGATTTAATGCAGACATATGGTGGGTAGTTTTCATAAGTGACAGAGTGTTGTATGAAACATTTTGGTTGTCTCATAGTGACCAAGGTTACAAAAAAAAAAAAGAAAAAGGAAGGAAATCACAACTGAAGAGACCAGTACTAATGATATTGTTCACACTGTGTTAAAATTCTGGCATGAAATGATTGTAACAACTAATATTTATGCTAGTTAACTTCATGACATTGCATCTATTTTCTGGAGAGAGAAACTGAGGTGCAAAAAAATAAAAAATATGAAAAACAGAATCAGTAATGTTGCCTAAGGACATCCTGTCAGATAGAGATGGATCTAGGGTTTCAACTTGGGTCTTTTCCACCCACAGTCCATGTGCTTAGCTACGCCACTGCTCGTGATAGATACAGGCTGAATATAATAGGGACTAAACAAAATAAATACCTTAAACACATAAATGAGAGAACACACAGCTCTGTCTTGGAATACTAGTTTTTAAACCTCTTCTTAATTCTTATATAATTTTATTACTTTATTTTATTAGTGTTCCCACTTCAGTTTAGAGAAAGATGCTCTTCCTAAATGTTAATAAAACCTCTTGGTTAATATAGACATGGACTGCCTTGTGTTAACTTAATATACATGTGTTTACCTATGACTTACACACTGTGCAATTATCTTAATTTCTGACTTTTATAAATATGTAAACAAAAACAAAAGCTTTGGGGTTTTCAAGGGCTAAGTGAGGTTACAGAGCACATTGATGATTTATGTAAATATAGTAGTTTTACTGAAGGAACTGTTCCAGTGGCCTTACACAGTGGAATGAAGGTCAATATAGTATGAAAACTTGTTCCAAAAATGTGTCATTACTAAGGGTCCATTTATTGGTGAATGCACATTCTTATGTGCTATAAAGGTGACAGTCATTTTTATATAGACCCCTTTATTCATTTGTCACACTTCTGTCTTTCTTTTTAGGATTTTTGAGGATTATTATTTTCCATTGCATGCCCAAACCAACTTCATGCCCTCCCTTAAAAAGAACTATCCAGAGAAGTGTAGAGGAATCAATATACAAGCAGTGAAATATTTTAGATAAGTTTTCTATATTGTTCAACGGTCACATAAGCCACAAAAATCTCTGTTTCTGTCTAGACTGTGAATTAAGCAACATGAAAATCTATGTAGGAAATGGGTGGTTTTCTTCACTTTCATATTACTTTGGGAATGAATACTTACAAAATGTGTCGGTTCAAAGGTCTTTTTCAAATAGACGTAATTTATTTTAGTCACAAACTCAGAGGTTGGCAAATGTTTTCTGTAAAGGCCCAGATACGAAGCATTTCAGGTTTTCCTGCCATATGCTCACTTGCAACTACTCGGCTCTGCCCAGGTAGCACGTGGGCAGCCTACATGACGCCGAAATGCACGGCGTGGCTCTGCTCCAGCAGAGCTTTTACAGACGCTGAGTTTTGAATTTCATTTGATTTTTATGTGTCATGAAATATTATTCTTCTTTTGATTTTTTTCAACTATTTAAAAAGGTGAAAAGCATTCTTAGCTTGTGGGCCTGTGGCTATAGTCTGCTGAGCCCTGCAATTGATTGCAAAATCAGACATAATTTAAAGATAACAAAAATCCACAATGTTGATTTTTAAAGTGTTGATGATAAAGATCTAAAGACATTGGCATCTTACTCATTCCAATTTACCTCTTCTTTTTCTGTCTGCTGGGAATTTTCATCTTAAAGTCATGATTAAAAATCAGTCAATAAATAAGTTACTTGTAATTTACTCTTCTTTTTTTGTTACTCCTTCTGAACTTACAATGTTTTTCAAATTCACTGTCTTTTTTTTTACCATCAACCATTTTACCATTGATTCTGTACTTTTCAAAATTTGTTTTGGTTTGTTATATTTTTATTATTTATATCAGGGAGATAAATGGTAACAAAGAATATGTTAGGTTCTTCTTTATCCTTGCTCCGATGAAAGACATTTTACATTTTAAGTTTTTATCAATTCAATATGTGTTCTTCAGCCTTTTTGTAATATCAACTTTTCTTTCCACACCTTTCCCTTTACTGATAGATTATCTTTAAAATGTGGCCATTTACTATCATAGTTTGGGCTATCTAGTAATAATTTAATCTAAAATATAAATTAGTAGCTGATTATCACATTGACCTTGGCGGAACTGGTGAGAATATGGAAGGTTGGAACCAAAAGTACTTACAGGCAACACTGTACGTTGGGTGAAGGTCTGAAGTAGAAATCCAGAAAGATGATTGTTTTCAAAATGAAGAGCTGAAGGTGTAACTGTTGAAAGAGAGTTCAACACTTGGCCCTATGTCCAAAGAAAAAGGACAGGCACATTGCAAGGGTAACTGACACAAATTCTCAAAGCTCAAAGATATCTTGTTAGAGATAGAGAATGCTAATTAGTTGATATTTTAATAGAGATTTAAGAGTAAGATTCGTAATTAATATACTGTTTGAAAGATGTTTTCTCAAGACATCATCAGTGTTGCAAAAAAAAATCACAACAGAAGAGACCACTAAATATGAACAAGTTAATGAGCTGATAGATTGATTTGGCAGTTGGCAACAGGGAGGTAGAGAGGCCAGTGTTCAAAGACATGTGAATGGCAGCCACTGCAGGGTGGAAAGCCCAAGTGTAGAAACTGACACAGAAAGGAGGATGAGCAGAGACAAGGTAGGGAGAGCGGTCAAGGAACAGAGATGCGACGTGGAATCTGAGTCATCAAGGATAGACTGAAACTTGCAGGGAAACCGCCTGAATTTTGAGTTTCTGACGGCATTTGAAGAACAGTTGCAGAGGAGGTTCTTCTGCGAGGGAATTCAAATTGGCTGGAAATAAAAGAGAGAAAGAGCTGTGCTATAAGGAATATAAGAACGAAGTGACACTATAATCAGGTTATGTATTATTGTTTTATGAAGTGAAACCTAGGTCTTTTAATTTATTTATTTATGTCACTATTCATATAAATTTATGTCATCAGAGATTAGTTGATATCAACTTTAGTCATTTTAATTAAAAATATGGTCATGGCAAAGACACGTTTGATTGTATAGGCCTTAAATATGGTATTCATGCCATTTGAAGAAACCCATCTGGTCACACCCTCAGCCTTACACCTCATCAACCCAGCACTAAACCCCACCTTAGCACCTGAACGTCTCTCTCTTCTCATTTACTATTTTTCTCCCCTGATACCTCGTTTAGTTCCAGTCTTTGGCTTATTTCACTTGGATTACCAAAGTGTCTTCTCAAATACTTTCTTCACACTTGAGCCAGAATGGTCTTTACAAAACAAAAGTTCCATCATGCCCTTTCCTACTGACTTTAGGAGCCCAGCTCCTAAAGTCACTTAGCTGTGCAACTTCAGTGAAGTAATTTTGATCTGTGTGCCTCAGTTCATTATCTGTAAAATCCAGAGTAATAACTGTCCTTAAAATTTATACTAGTTGTGAAAGCTAAGTGAGATAATTTCAGGACAGTGTGGAGCCCATAGTAAGCATTAGAAATGTATTACAGATTAATTACTCTTATTACTCAGAATGACATCTGAATTCCTCTGTGGGGCATTCAGCACCGTTCATGGTCTTGCCCTTGTTTTCCTGTCTGGCATTAACCCTCATCACTCTACACCATTCCCTCCCTGGCACCAGCAATGCTGCCCTCTGGCCATACTGAACTACTTGCAGCTATTTTGAACCTTCCATCCTTTCTCTTGCTTTAGGGCCTTTGCAAGAACAGCTGTTCTTCTATCTGAAAAGTCCAATGCTACATAATTTTCCTGACTAAATTCTATTCTTCTGAAGGCCTTAGCTTCATAGTCACCTTCTTTGCAAAGGCTTTTCTGGATTCCCAAGCTTGGATCAGGTGCTCTTCCTGTCTAGATGCCCCATAGCACCTGTGTTTACACCTGCCTTCATAAAACTTCACTGTCACTGCTTGCTTCTTTGGCTCTCTCCCTGATTTGTCCATAAGATTCTCAGATGCAAAATTTTTGAGGACAGAGCCAATGACGTGCCTAGCACATAGTGTACATGTAATAAATATTTAATATTTATTGCCTTCATAACTGAATAGATTACTTATAGCATAATATTGTCGTTATTTCAAAAGTGGAACAAAGTAAAACATATTAGTCAATTATATAAACACCCTATTTATTTCCTTCCCCAAATATTGAAGAATATTGGAAATATATCAATAAATGTGCATTTGGAATATAATATGTCTTATTCAAAATGGAAATTTATAACCATTATATATCATGTTTTTAAATGAACTATAAAAATATACTTAATATCACAAGCTACAAATTACTGTGCCAGTAGAAAATATAGAATTGGCAAATTAGCTAATTATATTTTTATTGATAATTATTTCTTCCTTTTTTGTTTTTCAGTTAGGGCCTCTTCTTTAACTTTGAAATAAACATATTCAGTGAGTTGGGCTTGTTAGAGACTACGACCAGGACCGACCGCACACTGGGAAACACAAATGTATATTTTTCATCATGGCAGATGCTCTTTGAAACTTGAACTGTGAGAACAGAAGTTCAATTAATGTGTTTCTCATTTGTTCTTCTGACAGATAGAGGCCAAATGACACAGTGGAAAGAACTTCAACTAAGTGTCAAAAGAAAAACTCATGTTCTAGAATCTTCTTTGACACTTAAAATAGCCTTGTGAGTACACACGCATCATCCAACTTCTCTGAGGTTTAGAAGTGGAAAATAAAGACATTTTGTCAGTGGCACAGCATGGGGGGCAGAAAGGCTGCCCCGGGAGTCCTGGTTTTGCCATTACTACATGGATGACCACTGAACCATCTGTTCCCATTTTCTCTTTCACACAGTTGCATACCATAAGTGCTCAGCATACACTGACGCTGGGTTAGGGCGTTCAAAGTGAAATACATGACTCTCATCTACAGGAGGTCAGAGTTCCTTGTGAAAGAGAAATCTGAACGTCTGATAACATCATCTCTAGCCACATATCTGAAACTTTTATGTGCGTGGGCATCACCTGGGGATCTCCTTAAAATGCAGATTGTGATTCCATAAGTCTGGGGTATCATCTGAGATTCTGCGTGTCTCCCAAGCTACTAGGCCATGGAGACTGTGGACCAATGGACCACAGTTTGAGGAGCAAGTGCATTGAGATATAAATATCGAGAGCCAGGGAGCACAGAAGAAAAGAAACCAACCAGGAAGGCTCCACAGAGAGAGTGACATGGCATTGAGGGATGAGTATTGGGAGGCGGAAAGGGAGGTATTAAATTCATTTGAGAAGAAAGAATATTTTATAGGACACAGAAGTGTGAGGGGTCATGGTGTGGGTATGGAAAAAAGATAGCAAACTGGGGAAGGCATGTGCCAGGCAGATCAGTTTCCAGGAAGTTCAATTCAGAAGTCCATACGGGAGACAATGAAGGAGACTAAAATAAGGGAGATAAACTACCTTAGTGAATTAATTCATCTGACTATTCACAGCTCAGTTTTATGAAAGACATGCGGTGGGGAAGGCCCAACGAAGGCAGGGACAGTGAGGATGGAAAAGGGAAGTGGATTTCTCTCCAGTTAGTAGGTTTACAGTTATGAGTATGCAAAATAGTTTATTCCTACATTATTATGTGTTAATAGTTGTATTAGTTTCCATACAAGCAACTGTAGACCTACTTTTCTCTTACCCTGTATTTATGGACTGAAAAATGACAGAACCAAATCTCTGATTGAGTGTCTTTGAGGGTAAAGGAGAAGGCATACAGGGGTGTTTGTAGTTCAGGCGACTGGAAAATAGGGTTGTTTTTTAAGTTGGGGAATCCAGGCTTGAATTTTACAGGGGAAGTAAAAAGTGAGGTTGAAGTGTTTTTTTGTTTTGTTTTGTTTTTGTTTTTTTAAATTATTTATTTATTTTTAGAGAGAAGAGAAGGAGAGAAATATCAATGTGTGGTTGCCTCTTGCACGTTCCCTATTAGAATAGGACCTGGCCCACAACCCAGGCATGGGGAATCAAACTGGCAACCCTTTGGTTGCAGACTGTGCTCAATCCACTGAGCTACACCAACCAGGGATGAAGTGTTTTGAACATGTAAATTTAATGACTGGAGGACAGACATTTGTGTCCATTCAGGTCTAAAGATCTATTGTTTCCCCCATTTTAAAAATTCATTGTCCTTGAATGCTGTATCAAGTCACCCCTTTCTATTTAGTAATAAATAAGACAGCAACTTGGAGAACTAATTCACATTTTATTCTCGTTTCATGAGTTCCTTCAAGGATTGTTTTTCTCACTTATAAATTCACTTTGTGTACTCTTTAAAAGTTGACTCCTATGCCTTTTAATGGCATTAGTTTTTTTCTCAAAATACAGTACCATTTTATTTTGCCCATGAAAGGGTCATATAATACATTCCATTTTCTGAGTTGCTTCCTCTTAATTATAGCCAGCATCATTTCAGCTGCTTTTGTTGAAAAGGGATTACTGACCTTATATTCTCCTTTGACACTCCTTTTCATTTCTCATGGCTATATCTGATCATCTTCCAGACTTTAAATAAGTCATTCTGAAAGAGTTTGCCATGAATAAATTCTTTTTGTTAGTAAATAACACTGTTAATCTTAAAGAAAGACTATACAATAAGCTGAATTTAGTAAAACTTTATCTGTAGAACTGATTTGTTTTTATAATGGGAGTTAGAAAAGTATCAGTCATCGGGGTCAGAGAGGTAATACAGTGAATGAAGTGCACTACTGAGTTTAAGAATTCAGGCTTTTGATGCTCTCATAATCATAATTAATGGTCACTACTGAAGATGAAACTTGGCTTTGGTTTCAACTGAAATTGAAACTTGGCCAGGGAGACATTAGTGATCAGTGAGGAGTGTGGCAAACCGGAGAGCTCAAACCTCATGGAAAGGGGAAGACAGCCATTAGTTCCAGGGGTTGATGGCATGTGGGAAGGCAGGTCTTTTTGTTACCATCGGTAACAAGCCGATGAAAAGGGAAAAGGGGGAAAGGAAACTAGACATTGAGCTTAATAAAAATGGGGAACATATGCCTGTCCGCTTCAGCAGGAAGCTACAGCTTTTCATACTCCAGGGGACCACAGCATTGTGCTGCACCAAGGGGATTAACACTCCTCCCTTCCCCCTCAGTGATACAGGATAGTTTGGGGTGTAGGGGCAGGTGCTGGATCCTAGAGGCCTGTCAGTCTAACTAGGAGGTATAAAGCTATCAAAGGCTGTGAAAGTTTGGGAAATAAATTGGTTCTTTTAAAAAAGCATCTGGTCCACCCCAAACCCAAGCTCCTGGTTATAGCCCCAAGGCAACAAAGAAGCTCTTGCTCTCTGGCTTTTGACCCCCACTCGCACTGCACACACCTGTCCTCTCCCCACAGCCACAAGGCCTTAGCAGCCATGTGGCCATGGCCTCTGAGAGGGAGCCTGGGTACTGAAGCACAGCAATGGACTAGAGGTAGAAGCACACGCTAAGCTAGCCAGATAGCGCATATACCCTGGGTAGTGGCCTTCATCCTGGCCCTACTGAAGACTGGACTTTTTTTGTGCTGAGACAGACAAGATGGGACATTGGGAAGTCAAGAAGGGAACCTCCTTAATTGAACCTCATCAATAAACCACACCACAGAGTCACGTCCTCCCATGTGGGTTTCAGGAAATTTTTTCCATTATCCCCACTTCCACCAATAGCAATCTCTTTTAAGATCTTCTGATTTTTCAAGAGAAGTAGGAATCTAGATTTTTATTTGAAGTCCATTGATCTTATCAATATTGGCTCAAATATTTCAAAAATAATATTCATAGTTGTTATGGTTAAACTGCACCCTTTAAAAATATATGTTGAAGTCCTAACCTCCAGTACCTGTGACTGTGACCTTATTTCAAAATAGAGTCTTTGCAGGTGTAACCAAGTTAAAATGAAGTCAATAGGGTCCACCCTAATACAGTGTGACCAGTGTCATTACAAGAAGAGAGGAAAACAGGGGGAAAAGGCCATGTGAAGGAGGCAGAAATTGTAGTGATTCATTTACTAACCAAGAGAAAGAAAGGATTGCTAATTATCACCAGAAGCTAGAAAGAGAGGCATAAGTTAGATTCTCCCTCATGGCCCTCAGAAGAAATCTTACTTCTAGCTTCCACAACTGTGAGACAGTACACTTGTGATGTTTTAAGCCACACGGTTTGCAGTAATTTGTTATGGCAACCCTAGGAAAACTAATATAATACTTTTATATGCAGTTCGCCACTATGTGGGGAACTGTATACGAAGCTATATGAAGCACATGGGCCCAATGTCTGACCGTGGCAGAGCTTACCAGTGCCTACTAGAATCTGGTTCTCCTACCTTCCTGGATTCTTAGAAAAGTCTGTTGCCAAGACTCCTTGCAGTTAGTTGCAGCCACATGACTAGTTCTGGACAATGTGTCAAAGCACATAAAAGCCAGTAAGTGATTTTGCATGCTCTTCCTGATGCAAAGACCAAGGATCCCGTGTGTTCTAGATGGTGGAGCTGCAGATAATGAAGCTTCTGTCAGCTGCAGTCTCTGAGCAACTCTTAAAACAGGATCCCTGCCAGTCTGTGGTGGAAATAAATCTTTGTTTTGCTAAAAAACTGAAATTTGAGACTAATTTTTTATACCCATTTATCTTAGTTTACCCTAACTAATGCACTGGTCCATAATACATGCTCCACAAATTTTCTTCTTCCCTTTGGCAATAGTTTGGGTCACAGGGTGATAGAAATTAACTTTAAGTTAAAAGTTAAAATGTAGGGTGAATACGACACAGCCACATAGAATATATTTCACTGTGGCTCCTGAGGCAAACCAAGAACGGCTGATGACAGTCAGGAAAGTCACTGTGTCCTAAGACCAGCTGACATGAAAAATCCATTTGCTGTCAGAAAAGAGTCACTTCTCATGAAAGATCATTTTTCTCATTCCTCCAAGCCAAATTATTTAAGTTTAAAAATAGCAGTAACATCTTATGAAAAAACATATAAATGCTAAAAATTCCAGCTCGATGTTTCAGTCACTATTCTTAATATACCTTCAGAAGGTTTTGACTGCCATTACTACAAACAGAAGACTTCCAGGAAGGAATTACTCAACAAAAAGAAGTCTTATTTTCTCTGCAAATTTTGGACAAGGGAGAAAGATGAGAGTAAATATAATTCCAAGTTTTTTATTCAAACAAATCTAGATGCTTCTGCCTAGCGGTTAACATTGTTATGATATGTTTTCATTTGCTAACCAACCACATTGCCTACTTTTTTTCCAAGTTAAACTCCATTTTAATCTCAAAGTCCACAAACAAGCCACAGTCATCCTTTCTTCATGTCTTTGATCCATTCGCCTGAAATGCCCTCTTTTTTACTTGGGGAAAGGCTTTATTTAAGTCTGCTTCTTGTGGTTGTATTTTGTCCTCTAAGATTCAAAGTAGTTTTTTTCACTTGTTGATTTTATTTATTGTACCCTTGCTTTTTTAAAAAACTGAGATATAACTGACTTATAACATTATATTAGTTGGAGGTGCATAGCATAATAATTCAATATATGCATACATTGAGCAATGATAACCACCATAAGTCTAGTTAACATCTATCAATGCTGTTTTATGCCTGGTAATTTTGTCTCTTATCTAGATTATAAATTCTCTAAAAAAAGGAATGAGTTTTTACACTTCAACCCCAAATTGCAAAAGCTCTGGCACAGTAGTAAGCACACCATCAGCAGTAAATAAATCTTCATGGTTGATTGGCCCGGGAGTGCGTGTGGGGGAAGGTGCTGCAGTTTGATCAGGGAGAACAGAAAATTGAGTAAGTTCCAGCAGAAGGACTCGTGACTGAAGTAAAAAATCAGTCTACGGGGAAAGGGACTTGAACTCATCTTCTGTGGGGTTTTTTCAGCCGGGTATTACAAGTTCGTATCCATTTCACAGTAGGCTTGCCACAGCTGCCCCACTGAGAATGAAAATAGGCAGTGGGGCACTTTGAACACTTTCCTGCTTGGAAATGGCTCCAGGTGGCTGGAGAAATAGGTCCTAATAACGATACTGTCTACACTTTAAAATTCAGGCATTGCATTCTCTGCAATTGCCTCCCCTTTTGAGAAGCAGGTACATGATCCCTGGGTGTATTGTATGCATTATGTCATTTCACTCAAACTGTCAGCTAAATTGTAGATGCAGCACAAAGATGTTTATATAACAACACAGTTTCCGGTAGTAATATGATGATACATACTCATACGAAGTATCTTATCACTAATAAAGCAAACATTTAAGATGTTTGGGTAGGTTTCTCTCAGCTGCCTAGTTGTACTATACTATACTATACTATACTATACTATACTATACTATACTATACTATACTACACTATACTATACTATACCCTGTTATAATTGGAGTTTACAGATATATTGCGTTAAAGGAGGCGTTGAGTTAGATTTGACATTCCGAACAATCAAAGGTCACATGGTAGACAGGGCCATAAACTGAGCTGCTTGAGTGGAAGTATAGAAGGCAGGGACTTATGTAGTTGTTAAATTTAGCTCATTTTATTCATTCAGTAAGTATTTCTTGAATGCCATGCACTGTTCTAGGCACTGAGGAATTATAGGTGAACAAGACAAACATACCTTCTATCACCATGGAGCTCATATTCCATTTGGGGTAACAGACAATGAATAAATGAATAAAGCAGGGGCTCCAAACTCATTTTCACTGGGGGGCCATATCAGCCTTTCGGATGCTTTCAAAGGGCCAAAATAATTTTAGGACTGTATAAAGGTCACTACTCCTTAACTGTTAAGGAGTTGAACTTAACATTCGACAGTCTGAAGGCAATCGAGAGGCTGATGTGGCCCCTGGTGAAAATGAGTTCGACACCCCTGGTATAAACGATCAGGACAGATTCTGAGTGTTAAGTTCTATGAAGAATATAAAGGAGGGTGATGTGACAGAGTTTAGTAGGGTGGCAAAGAAGGACTGTTTGGGAGGTAACACTAAGCGGAGGCCTGAATGACACAGGGCGTGGGCAGGTTTGCTGCAGGAAAGGGCATCTCAGCAAAGCCCGGGTGCTGGAGAGAGCTGAGCCCATCTGTGTCCAAGGGGTGGTGAGAAGGCCAGTGTGGCAAAGGGGCGACCTAGTGGGACACAGGTGGGGGAGCAGGGAGGGGATGCCGCAGCCTGTGGTAGGAATTTGCGTGAAAATTTAATCTAAGATTGGACTCCTTACCTTATTTTTAAATTCTAGGGGTATTTCACATATTCTGTTTGTCCACCTGTTCCTAGGTGGTAGCTTCAGGTCCATGTTATCTCCTTTCCTTTGTCTTGGTTGCTATGCTGAGGAATCCACCACCTTACAAACAGGAAGACAGTATCTTCAAAGAACTGTCTGAAGAAAACAGACACACATTGTAGTGCGTTAGTCTTCCTGCATAAACTATATCAGGTCCTCACATGAGGTTAATTTTATAACAAATAGTGCGCAGTTATGAAACTGAAATCTCAATGAGTCTTACTTCATCTGTTTTGGTGTTTGTGCCTGGGCCCACTTACGAATATGGCAACACAGCTAGGGCCCCACCATACTTTCAAGGGCTCATAAAAATGTTTTAATTTATCTTAAAATCAGAAAAGAATTAACTTTTAGGTTAGAGAAAATAAGCAATATTAACATATTTGTTAGAGCCCATGAGGGTCAAGGAAGCCCTCCTGGTGCTTATATGATAACAGATACTATGGTACTGTTTATTCTCCAATACAATTACTATCAATATGGACAAACTTACATCTCCTGTCAAAGTGCAGCAACCTCACATAACAACGAAAATAGCCCCAAAGATTCATTTTCAAACTTCTTTCTCTGTATTAATGAGTTCTTCTCAAAAGTGGTTGGTGAATTATTCATTTTTAAATCACTGGTGGGATGGATTGAAAATATCTGTAAGTTACCATTCTGTTAAGACCCACCTGTCAATGCAGCAAAGTTCAGGAAGTTTGGAGCACTTTTAAGTTAAACAAATAATTTGTTAAACAAATATATATACTTCACTTTTGATTTCAACAACTACTTCAAGTACTTCGATGGGATAACAAATAAATTTCTTTGCAGGACAAAACAATTTGCTGGTCATTGTCTTCCTCATTAGAAAGTAGTTAGCCCTGGCTGGTGTGGCTCAGTGGATTGAGTGCCAGCCTGTGAACCAAAGGGTCACTGATTAGCTTTCTAGTCCGGGCACACACCTGGGTTGCAGGCCACGTCCCCAGTAGGGACCGTGTGAGTGGCAACCACACATTGATATTTCTCTCCCTCTCTTTCTCCCTCCTTTCTCTTTTTTCTAAAAATATATAAATAAAATCTTTTTTTAAAGTATTTAAAGATTATAATATTTAATACTACATTTTCAAATTCATTTAATGGAACAAGGAAATCGCAATACATGGCAATGCTGAAAGGGAACCCGGGAGTGACGGAGTGATTCTCAAAGAGCTTTGGATGTCACAACGTGTCCTTGGTATCCCTGCACACTGTGTGACCCCTGCTCCCTGATGCACAGGGAGGGCCAGTGTAAATACCCTTATCAAAGACTAGCATGGCTTAGTTTCTTTCCTCTTTAGGCCTGAAACAATTACATATAAAAGCTTTAATATTTTTATCTTGCCCATATAATAGATTATTTGACTTTGGAGTCCATTCTGTTAAACTGCCATTGGGTGTCTCTCGTTTTTTTTTTTATTCTAAAAAAGAGAATTGCCTTCTCTGCAGCTTATTTACTATGACATTGTTTCTTTTCCCTTTTTTTTGCCAATCAAAATGTTATTTAAAATAACAATAATAAACATAAGGATTACAGACACTTTTTTAACTTAAAATTTAAAAATGATTTTATTTCTTTATTTTTAGCAAGAAGGGAAAGGAGGAAGAAAGAGATGGAGAGAAACACAGTGTGTGAGGGAAACAGCAATTTGTTGACTCTTTCACGCCCCCAACTGGGGACCTGGCCTACAACCCAGGCATGCGCCCTGACGGGGAATCAAACTGGCGACCTGTCGGTCTACAGGCTGCTGCTCAATCCACTGAGCCACACCAGCCAGGGTCAGGCTCTTTCTAAATAGTCTACGCATTTATTCAGATTCTTTTCACAGTTTCTCCTATAAGTTGAAATTAATAATAGAGATTATAATTGAGGTATGTTCCAAAGCCTCTGCATATTATTCAAAAAGAACAAGCCTAGACTAGCAAAAAAATTCAAAAAGCTATGAAATATGCATATTCTTATTAAGACTGAGCAAATCAGTTTTGATCTTGAGCAATTTTTATTTTTATTTTTTACTTGTTGTTGGCTTTCTGTAAAAGTATTGCATAGTCAAATAGTAGAAACATGCTGCATGTTTATTAACCAAAAATATTTGAACGCAGAACAGCATTTTTTGTCACTCAAGCATTACGGAAGAACAGAGAAGCAAATCTTACTTTTGACAAATTGGGACTTTTAAAAAGTAAAATGACATTATCTAATTTACTAAATATTGAAAACCAGGGGGCAAAGAGAGATTAGTATTTCAGAAACAAACATTGGAAAAATAAGAGCACATTAATAGCTGAGGCAGTCATTCAATTAATTTACTATATTCAATTCAAAGTCCATTATAACATCGATTGCTAGTAATTCAATTCTAGCAATCAAGTTTAAAGCATGGCTTAGAATATTCTGAGTATTTAAGAATTTACTAGGACTACAACATCTATTAGTATTGCCAATTACTTTTTTTCAAAATGAGTGCAGGGGAAGCCTGGGAAAATAAACCAGTGTTGAAGCAGCATTGTCAAATACATTTGTAAAGTACGTGGCCACAAAACTGTGCTTCAGCTCATCAAATTTGCCTTGACCTAATCCATATTTACCAGTCTACTTCCTCCTAGCTATTTTCATCATCTTCTATCATTAAACTAAGACAGTAGTTCTTAGTCTTAAAAATGAGCAGAAATAACCCCCTGGGGGAAGTAATACCTACCTACCTCTTTGACCGCACCTTCTCTGTCTACTTTGAGGCTTCTTCTTCTTCCTCTGTCCCCTAAATGTTCCTGCCTGAGGTTTGTTCAAGTCTTGACTCTTTACTTTTCATGCTCTTGCCTTTGATAATCTCATTTACTCTATGATTTCAATTATTGGTTCCCTGAAGAAAGACCCCAAATTTGTGACTCTAGCTGAGACTTTTCAAGCTACAGGTTTGCATCCCCACTTCCTGCTGGTCACCTACATGTGGATATATTACAAGTAATACAAACTTAATGTCTGCAAAAGCAAAAGCACAATCTTTTTCCATAGTCAATTTAGCTCCTCTGTTTTTGTTAATGCGTCATTCCCCTGCCTATGTTGCCTTGAGAGAGGTCTTTGAATCTTCTTCCTCCTCTCTTATGGATCCATCCTTACTATCATCACGTGCACTATTATTACCAATAATGTCTTAACTAGTCTTTTCTCCAGCTGAGGAACATGTCAATTGGAAGCATCATTCTAAAGCATAACTTTAATCATGTTTCTTATCTTCTTTAAAGATATTTGCATCTGATTATGTATGGAAAAATGTTCAGTCTTCACCCTGCTGCTCAAGAATTTAATGATGTCATACTTGTCTAGATTCATTGCCCATTATCCTATCCCTTATAGTTTATATACAAAGTTAAACTTTATTACTATTTCCTCAGTACAATATGCATGCATCATCTTGTCCCTCCACCTTTGATACTGTGCATCCTGCCTCTAGCTAGAAGTGCTGCACAACCTTCAAAACCTAATTAAATATTTGCTAAGAAGCTTTATCAGATAGCTCAAGCTTAACTGTCATCTCTGTTTATTTATTCCCAAGGGCACCATGATGCAATGGAAAGGGCGTGGGCTTAGAAAATCTCTACATCTAGGTTCTGAAATCATTCTTCATAGCTACAAAATGGGAATAATGCAGTTTACCAAGAAGTTCAGAAGAAATTTTGTATGGTGTGATTGACATCATCAGGAGAGTCCCTGGCTGGTTTAGCTCAGTGGATTGAGTGCAGGCCTGCGAACCATCATCAGGAGAGAGGCCAGTTGAATGGCTACCAAGAAGCTGAGAAGTTAGAGGGCCAAGCACTTGAGGCTGATTAACAAGATAAACACAGCCCTTGCCTTCAGGAAGCTAACAGTATTAGAGTCTAAATTCCCCTCAGCCCAGAACCTAGTCCTTTACTTTGCAGAATCAGAAACAACCTGGAATTGATTGGATCAATGGATATGATCTTGCTAACAACAAATACCCTTAATCCCGATGCCAGAAAAACAATTATTTATTTATATCGAAAATGTAACTGTCAAACAGATCCCTCAACAATTGTCTAACCAGATAGCTGTATGGAATCAGAAATAAAATGGAAAAGATGAAAATATCTGGTGGACTTGGGCTCCGATAGTCAGATGGGTCAATTTCTAAAACAGGTAGACTTTCTTTCTTAATGTATGTGTATAATGTGATAGCACCTGGAATATCATTATTTAAGAGAGACCCCAGAACAATACCCCTCTCCCATTTTCCTCAATTTCTGAAAGAATTTGCAGAAGAGGTTCCCAGATATTCCTATGCATCTTAAAGGCAGGGATGAAAATGAGTGCCACAGATCTCTGCACCAGGTGCTGCCTCATGGTGACCCTGAGGATAATGATAAGAGAAAAGAATAGAACTCTGAACTAAATTTTGAGCAGGTCTTATGAATCCTCATTTGCTAAAGAGAAATCACTGGATATGAAAGAATAGACTAACTGAGTATCTGCCATTAACAAAATACCAGCTCAGGGTCAAAGACTAAATTTTTGTACCGAGTGAAAAGACATGTCCTTGTTTTCATACCTATTTTTAAGTTGTGGATTGTAGTCCCACACAATTATGTGTTTACTAATATATTATCTAAGTTTCTTGAGGACTGTGGCAAGGCCTGGTTTGGCTTTCTATTAGAATACCATGCTCAATAGACAATATTTTGCACCAATGCTTAAGAAAGGAATAAAGGACTATCTTTAACTACGGGGCATGCACCTAGACATTGCCTGCACTTGGGTAAACCCCCTTGTAAGACAGACACTTGGTAATTGGAAGAGGACATGTGAAGCAGGCCTTAGAAGGCATGAGACTTAAGTAGTACTAAGTTGGCACCAGGAGGGAGGTTGAAATGTTATCTCTAGCTTCTTCCTATTCCTTCCACAGCTGTCTCCTCTTTCCAAACCAATTTAAGGAGTGGAACTGACTTACGGTTTTTATTACAATGCAAGACAGCTTCAGTGATAACTGTTAGGAAACTCTGAAGAAAAAATAAGTTTCTTACAGGCCCTGGAGTGTACCAGGCAGGCCAGGGGGCACACCACCAGGTAAGTCGAGGACAGAATGTGAGAGTGCTTGCACACGAACACTCTCGCATGCACGCAGACGTGCACACAGGAGCAGACAGGAGCCTCTGGCTCTGCTTTTACTGGGTCGAGGCTGGGGACCTAAAGTTCCTCAGGCTCTCTCTTAATTAGTGAATCTAAAATATAAGAGTGGTAATTTAAAATAAGGGGATAGAAAAAAAAAACAAGTAGCCCAAATAGTTACTTATGAAATCAACCAAGATCTAAAACAAAGGAACCACAGTGGAGGAGGTGGCCTGGCTCTTCATTTGAGTCCTGTGGCTGGCAAGGTGTTTGTTAAAGATAGACTTTGTTGAAGTAGACACCTCTTTGAAGTGGAGGCCTGAGCAATTAAAAGTTAGGTGGGGCACTTGTTTTACAAAAGAAAAAGGTGCTGTTGGGGCTCACACTATAATTACTCAGTGTTTGTGGCAATGCTGGTATAAATAAACAAACCTACTTTCACCATGTTGGTCACGTAACAGGAGAGCATGTAAAATTACAGTAATAAGCTATACCAGCTAGGTTTGTGTAAGTGCACTCTATGATGTTTGCACAGCAAAGAAATTGGCTGGTAATAGGTTTCTCAGAAAGTATCCCCAAGGTTAAGCAGCATGTGACTGTGTTGTTATATATCCATCACTAGTTCATTTCAAACATTTATGAGGTGGCTTGCAAATACACTGCAAGTAACAATAAAAACAACAACCCAAGTACACAGAAGGAAGTCAAAGTCAATGCTGAAAATAAGGAAAGCAAAATAAACTCAAGCCAAGGGTAG